GTCACTGAAGCGGACATCTACAACTGACATACCACAAAGTTGCACAATTAACTTCCCGAATTTCGAGGGCCAGTATGTCACAGGGTTAGATACTGTGATTCTTTGCGATCTTGCTACGGCAGGAGAAGTGCAAAAACGCATAATCGCACCGGCCCGCCTGGTAGCTACACTTACTCCTTGCGATCTTGCTACGGTACGAAAGTGCAAAAACGCATAATCGCTCCGGCCCGCCTGGTGCGCGTTCTCGCTTGGGTTTATGCGTTTTTGCCGTGCAGCGTTAGAGCGCTGCAACAGGCAGCAAAAACGCATATTGGAACGACGCATCTAGTGACTCCAAAAATATGGTTGTTCCCGGCTATTTTTTTGCCCTCTAGACATACTAGTTACACTTGGATTCGAACGAAATTAGTGCAAAAAAGAATAAGTTGTAGGTTCAAAATGAACTCCTCTTTCCTCTGTCAGTAATAGTGGCCCTTTGTTGGTGGTACAGTATGATAAGCAGTGCCATAAACAGCACTTCTCATTCAGCTCCTTTGTTTTTTGCAGCACTGCAACATTCGCCATCGGATTTAAATATTCGAGCAGCGGACATGTGGAGTTTTGGAATATTGCTTTGGGAGCTGAACACACGAGAAGTACCATTCTCAGATCTTTCGCCTATGGAAATCGGAATGAAGGTTTGTTGTTCTTATGATCACTGAGGGCGGAAAAAGAGGGGACTTCTAATGGCTGGTGAATAGAGAAGGAGCTAGCGGGCATCTCAAGTCCCAGAAGCTGTCGTCACGAGAAAGCGCTAGTGTGGTATAAATTCAGTCAGAAGATTATAGCCAAGAAATGAACCCTTTCAGAAAGCGGGCAGGAAAAATTCTTGTTTCGTTTCACCCCAATTTTTGCATATTGTTTGATTTCTTTTTGATATATGGGCTGAAGTATGAGGAAAAAACTGCTGCGTTTGAGGTTAAGTTTACTAGTATTTTACTGTGCAGTAGCTTACTAACAGAAATCGTTCGTATTAGGTATTTTTGGCGTTTCTGAATGATTTTGCTCTTTTTACTATGTTTTTTCGTAATCAACGCGAGAAAAAGATTTGTCGCCTGTTAAGGTTTAAATATATGAGCTGTCTAGAGAAAACGAAAATAAAATTTTTCACAGGTTGCTTTGGAAGGGCTGCGTGTACCATTTCCGCCAGGTATTTCACGGAATATGGGGCGTCTGATGAATATCTGTTTAAATGAAGATCCTGGTCGACGGCCCAATTTTGACCAAGTAATACCGATATTGGAGAAGATGGCTAGCTCCTGACTGAGCTGGCCTGTGCTAGCCGAAAAATCGGCTTCTTTGTGTTTATTTCTTTAATTTGTAAAAATTGTACTTCTGGAGAACTGACCAATTTAAGTGTGGCTTATATCAGTGATAACAAATTGATTTTGTTGCAACTCGGTGGCATTTTAAATTAAATTTACTTGAAATATTTGACTGTAAGTCGTTGCTCCAGCTCTTTGGGGGGTGGTAACCAATTTTGCATCAACTGTTGGTCAGTCTCCTGATGTTCATCAGGCTCGTTTCGTCCGCGGAAAAGATTGACAGCTCGGTAGTTCTTCCGATAGATGCACTTAGCAAGGTTCCGTGTATGTTGAGTATCATCATCCGTCGGGTATTTTGGTATTCCTAGACCGCGATGTGGCACTCTGCCGACTAGGAGCAGTTGAAATTCAAAGAAAATTTTTATTTTATCATGTGCGGTGTTAAATATAATTATTTTTATGCGTTTTTTGCAGTAATGCAATGCAAAAAACGCATATTGACGAGAGGTTGTCTGTG